CCTATTGAAATATTTGTCGATACTTTTGCATAGTATCAGTTGTGTCTAATAAATCATTCTTCAACTACGAATAAGTTTTTTTTCTTAAAAAACCTATTTTTAAATCGGAATCTGCTGCAAAAACTTTATTTTCTTCTTCTTTAATATACTTTTTAAATAAATGAATGGTAACTAACGATGAGATAACATTTTGAAATACATAAATTAGATATTGTATCGCGATTGCATTTCGTTTATCGATACTCTGTGAAAATTAATATAACAATTCATAAACATGATGATGGCCTAATTATGATAGGTTGATACTCTTTGAAAAAAATGATCAGTCTAATTAGGATAGAGGTATGAAAGAAGAGAAAGATCACTCTAACTCTTCTAGTGTTGTATACTGATTAAACATGAGCGAAATCGACTGTTTTCTTTTGAATTAGAACCATATCAAAATATTGGATGAGTTAGTGTTTGAACTCATAGTAGAGAACACTTCCAAGTTTTTGTTGATGAACATGGAATTTTCAGATATTTATAGATAGAAACACTTTTAAAGTTCTTTTTTAAAAAGAAAATCTCGAGAAGATTTTGTTGTTTTAATATAAAAGTATGAACTGTTAGTTTTATTCTTAGCCAGAAAATGAAGACAAAATTTTTATTATTCATGAAAATATATCCAATAGCTATATTTTTATAATTTGAAGTTAAAGCTGAACCATAATAAGATGTGTTAGTTGTTTTTGTCATATAGGAGTTCTAGTTTCAATGTTTCATAGACGTATCGTCAAGTCATATTATGAAATATATCAATTTCTTCGATAGAAGTTACTAACTCAATAAAATTTTAGATGACGAAAGCAAAATGAGCGAAGGAGAAAACGTTCTGGGTGAATGTCTTTCTTTTAGTAAAATGGATATAGTCTATTATTCTTTCTTATTTCTTGTTCTCATGTAAGCAATTTTAATTGAATGCTACGAAGTAATCTAGTTGATTTTCTTTATACGGGATTCGAGTCCAATTGATCTGACTTCTTCAAAACAGAGAAATATAAATCAAATTACTTTGTTTTTTAATGCATTTTTCAATAAGCTCGATTAACTGAGAGCTATTCGGTCGATTATTGGGATTCTGACTCCAACATTCCATAATCACTTTAGAAAAGCTCGATGGTGTGGTCTTCGGTATCTTCAAGCGGCTGCCACGTCGTACGAAATCTGAAATGACATCATTTTGGTGTCCTGCATAAGGTATTTCATTTGTAGATAGTTCCCAATAAACCACTCCTAAGCTGTAGATATCACTCTTATCAGTGTACGCTTTTAGAACCAGTACTTCAGGAGCAGTCCATTGAAATGTACAAAACAATACATCAGTTAATTGTGTTTTCTTTGTTGTTTCGCTTCGTGTTTGAGCTAAACCAAAATCACACACTTTCACAAAATAACCTTCATGAGATTTCTCTAATAAAAAGTTCAGTGACTTGATATCTCGATGTAAAATGGATGGTTGTAGTTTATGAAGATAATTAATGCTTTTGGCTGTTTGCAAAGCAATGGATAATCGTTCAGACCAATCTAATGGTAGTTTATCCCTGTGAAGAATTTTGTATAAAGATCCTAATGACATGTATTCCATTACCAATGCATATTTTCCATTTTCCATACATGCACCAATGAAAGTAACAATGTGAGGATAGCGAAGGCTATGCATTATCAAAAGTTCTTTGTAGAATTCGTTTTTGGCTTGTACGTCCAATTGAGCAAGATGTAACTTTTTAACAGCAACTGTATGATGTCGACTTAACCATTGAGCTCGATAAACTGTTCCAAATGCTCCACGACCAATTTCATCTTCGAGTTTCAAATCTTGGTCAGATATTTCTAATAAATCTTCTGGTTGTTCTAAAGTACAAAACATATACCAGACTGTATTCATATCACTAATTAAACTCAAGATTTCTCTCTATGACATGATCTTATACGAAAACATAGTAGTTATAACAAAGTTCACAATGGAAGTATGTTCTTTTAAGCTCCCCCCCCCCTTCAGAAACCAACTTTGTCATTTCTCATCCTATTTAACGAAAATTTCAGAGAATGTAAGTCTTGGCTAGGGGAGACTGCGGTTAAAATATCTCCCCAAATCTCTGAGAAACGAATGAGTTACAGTCAATTTATTGGTCAAAAGTACCTTCCACGCGGACAAGGTTTTCGATATAAGAATATTGGCTAATCATGTCGGCGTGGTATTTAACTTGTAGAGTGCCCTTAGGACCAGATCCTCACGAGCTCCGAATTTTAAATTTCTCTTTGTTTGATTTTGAAAAATACTTTTTCAAAAAATGTTCAAATTCAAAGCGCTAATAAAAATGAAATATCTAAGTTCTTTATTTTAGTAAAAGAAAAATTTTAAAATCGGAGCTCGTGAGGATCTAGCCCTAACTGCCTGCTATACAATAAAAAAAAATTATCACTTCTATATTGAGTCATTATTAAGAAATCCTTCCCCGCGTAAACGGTAAACTCAAAAAAAATTGATTTTGAGAAAAACGAATAATAAGTTTTTAAAAACCTTATTTTTTTCAATAGGGAGGTTCGGAAAAACCTATGTAATATCCTTAAATCTTATGATAAAATCAATCAACTATAGTGCATTCGAGAGTAGGCACTTAGCTCTATCGAATGAGTTTTAAATCACAAAATCGATAAATTTGACCAAAATTGACTTTTCTGAGGAGACTCCCCCCTTAAAAGCCCAAAAAAAATTAATAAGGATCTCACAGTTTGGCTACTTTCCAACCATTCAAAAACATTTTATAACAATATATTATTCTTCAGAAAATATGTTTAAGTTTGAGATTGAAATAAAAAATTCTAACACCAAAACGATATTAGATGGGGCGTGTGTCTATATGTTTTAAAAGGATACTCACATTTGCACCTTTTATCTCTTAATAGGCTCTTTTGTGAAGTTTTTGATAAGCAAGTGACTTTCTACACTTATATATACATAACCGATTGGCTTTGTACATTCAGATAGATATAATAAACTCGCTAGTAAATGCTAAGTTTTATTATAATCTAAAATGTAATTCATTACTAATATCATTGCAAACAAACACACTGAAAATTCGTCGCATATGGATGTGGTGTGTGTATGAGATAAATGTCTATGAAATGTCAGAATTTGTTTGCGTGAATGTTCCATGTGGGCACTAGCCTATGGTTTGCCAGTGAGCTGATGGTGCTATTTGCCGCCTAAAGCCACATCTATATCTCGAATCCATCAATATTTGAGCCACACATAGTACAATTTTTATGTTTCGTTGAACGTAATTCATGATTGGTGGTTTTTTTTTGAGTGCAATTAAGAGTTAATAAAGTCAAATTAGCTAATAAATTAAGAAATTTTATTTGCATTAATAATGAAATAGATATTAGGCTATAATATAAAGTAATATTTAATAACTGATTGATTGTATCTATCTGTATATACATACACAACTGGCTATATGTGCACTCATGTACATAGAAACTTTTGATAAAATTCATTATGCTCTTCATATTTGATAGCTTACTTGAATCAGAGACAGGTATCACTGAGGATAACAGAGGGAATGACGCTTTCATTTCTTTCAATTGAATTGTGTAATGATCATTACCGTTATCTAAGCATCCGATAACTTTGAATTGTGTAGCAGCAAGAAGCAAAATTTCTTCTTCTTTTGGATAAAACGAATGCTTGCTGATATCTTTACCCGAATTGCATTCAATGGTAAACATTGTTCTTGTTCCTGTCTTACCCAAAAAAAGTTCTGATTGTAAAACTTCAATTGAAGTAGTGCATGACGAAAAACCCCACCAAGTAATTGTCGCTCCTTTTGGGTATTGATCACGTAAATTTTGTTTAACACCACGAAAGACAAACCGATTTTTAGACGGAATTCGTGACAGGGCTGTGAGAAAGAGTTTCAAATAGAGAAACCATGGTTGAAGTTTTTCCCTATCCCTCGAACGGAGTGTAGCATTCAAAGCAATATAGAGGCATTTATCATGTGGTTTCCAACCCATCGAATAGAGCATGATTGCAGCAGACTCATCGAGAGTTAAACCATCAGCTGGTGGTTTTTTGCACTTTTCTTTAGCAGCACAAGCAAAACTTTGAACTTTTGGTAAAAGATGAACAAGAGGTTCGACAGCATTTTCAAGTGATTCCAGTGGTACATCTTCGTAGCCAGTAATTGGCATGAGCATTTCATGCGGTTCTTGACTAATATCAGATACTCGGAGAAACTGTTGCATATGATTATCATTATTGTCTGTGGTCATTTTTAATAGGGAATAAATTCCAAGAGTAAATGTCAAGATAAGTCTCTAAAAGAAACAGAAAGTATTCTCACGAGTGTTTCGACTCTACATGAATTAATTCATTGGAACGATTTCCTATCACAACAATGGCAATTATACAAACTTTTAAATGTTTTTTAACGTGTTACAATTGAAATCACATACAGAACCGTGTCAATAATATTTCTCATTTTATGCTTTTCTTCAAATTTTACTGATTAAAATGGCATTGATTTTATAAGGATTCGAATGTGTAGTCAATTGGTAACACGAATGATGCTCTCAGGACAATTGCTCTCCAGTGGCAGTTGCTCCCGAGACATTTGCTCTCGTGACTTTTGCCCCCAAGGGCAAGTGCTTCCCAAACATTTGCTCTCCATAACAATTGCTCCCTGGACATTTGCGCCCCGGGCACTTGCTTCCCAATCACATTTTCTCCCCAATTTCAGTAGGTCTTAAGCTACGGTTTTTTTGTTGACAAATTCAATATAATCTTTAAAGACTTAAAAATTGGTAAAATTATGACAAGAGTGAGATGATTAGAAATTCGTGCAGAATCTATGATCCCTGAAAACTCACGAATTGATTTTAAATATATAGCTAATTTTACTGCAGTTTTATCGGAACTTCAAAACGTGGTAACATGGATCTATGAATACATGAAGAACCTACAACAAATAACATGGGAAAATACTCTAGATTATAAAAGAAATTATCAAATAAACAAGAAACAACAAATGAGAGTGTTCTGTTCTGTTTTATATTTTCTTTAAATTGTTTTTCTAATCTTACACAAATACACTACAACTAATTAATTAAATACATCAAAAACAAAGATAATCCAATGAAATATGTCTAGCGTGTTGACAAGCTTAAACTTCTAATTAATTAATCTCTTCATTTAGCTTGATCTCTAAATTTGTGTATTTATTTCGACAATATTTTTTTTAAATTTATTTTTCAACCTTTCTCCTAAAAGAAATCATATCAACGTTTTTTTCTACATAATAAATATTTATTTATTACATGATGGAAACTTCTAGAGGAAAACCAATCTTTGAACATTAAGGTTATTTATATATTATTAATAAAAAATCAAATAACAACAAGATAATATGGTGCTGTCGTAATTATCATCAGAATCAATGTCGTGGTCGACTTCATACAATTGATGATCAAGTTGTACTTACAGTTGGGGAACATAACCATGAACCGTCTCATTTAGCAGGTGAAGTAATTGCATCACGTACAAAAACCAATGATGCAGCTAAACAAACTGGTCATTCAACGCATGATATTGTGGCTGATTGTGTATCAAGATTATCTGATCATGCAGTTTCAACATTACCAAATTTACAGCACATAAAACGCACTGTTCAACGAATTCGTCAAAGACATAAAAATCTATTATCATTACCAACAAATCGTGATTCGCTTCTTATTGATACACAACATATAAAAACAGCTCGTGGTCGAACATTTTTACAATTCGATTCTGGTCTAATTGATCAACGAATATTAATATTTTCAACCAAGAAACAATTAAAAATGTTTAAAAATGCGAATTCTATATATTTAGATGGAATATTTAGTGTTGTTCCAGAATTATATTTCCAGTTATATACAAGTCATGCTACACTGAAAAAAAAATCCGTAGAATAAAAAACGAAAAAAGGGTTTATGAAAGTGCAACGTATAACAAACCCTTTTAAAGGGTTTATTAAGGTGTCATAAACCCTTCCATAAACCCCAAGAAAAGGGATGAACATGAGGTTTATGAAGCGCACAAACTCACTGTAAAGGGTTTATGAAGGGGATGATAAAGTTCATAAACCTTTAAAGGGTTTGCTATACGTTGCACTTTCATAAACCCTGTGAAAGGGTTGATGATTATGATAAACTTTCGCGTAAGATCGTCAAAAACCCCTTCAAAAAGGATTGATGAAAGTACAATACCCAAAGTTCAAGCTCAGAAGATTTACTTGGAAACGTTTATGAAGATCATGAATGCTCGAAAAGGTTCAAGAAAAGGTATATGAATGGGTTGATGGGACTCTTTAACTGACCCAAGGGTTCATCAAAAGGTATATTAACGGGTTGATGGATCTCTTCAACTCATCTAGGGTTTATGAAAAGGTATA